TGCTTAAAATTCGAAAGCAATCCATACCCACCGGTTCCATAACTCAGTTGGTTAGAGTGTGATGCTAATAACGTCAAAGTCGAGGGTTCGACCCCCTCTGGAACCAGCGTGTTTCTATTTTTCTATTTTTTTTCTTAAAAAGAAATTCCACCACAGCCTCTCTAACTGAGTCATCGAACAGAGATACATACCTGCGATAAAGGTGGTCTCTGGTGACTCGATTATATGTAACGTTATAAAATTAGATAAATAGTATTAGCATGTATGATATACCAGCTTAATCCATCCTCTCACAAGAAATAATTTCGATAAATGCGGTTGCGGAAAGGAGGCCCTTTTTGGCAAGATCATTTCTGGCGTCGATTTTATAAGACCTCATATTATTCTGGATGTAAACCTCGAAATTAGGAAAATCTGGTCCCAGCATTCCTCCGTAATTAGAAGAGGCTGCTAGTCCATATAGCCTAACCCCGTTTTGATTGTTCCATGTGCCTTTTTTAATAGCTATTTTGTACCAAAAATGCGCTCAATGTACTTGTTAGAAACGGCCCTCGGTTTTAATGAAGTATGACTAACTATGTTATATTATCATCTGGTTTTATTAAAATTTAACCGTACAAGAATAATCGGCCGCGTTTGCGGATCTTGTGACATCTTTTGGTTAGTCTTTCTTTGTCATGTCATTTTCTTCTATTTCACACAGACCGTAGAAGAAGGCAGAGAAGTGCTTAGTTAGTGGAATTGGACCTTTCTATGTATACCTTGGATAACCTTAGAATGGAAGCGACCCATTGAGGTCCTGATGGCAAAGACAAGAGAGATAGAGATAGAATGAAAGTGAGAGTGAGGCAAAAAGAAAATCGACACCTGTGTGATTCGAACACACGCTCCCGAGGGAAATGCCTAAGCTTACATTTACATGCATAGCAGGGCATCGCGTTAACCACTCCGCCAAAGTGCCTTATTGGTCAGAATGGGAGTGAGGGGAAACAAGACTGACAGTGTCAGGGATTAGAATTTTTAAAAAAAAGATCGACACCTGTGTGATTCGAACACACGCTCCCGAGGGAAATGCCTAAGCTTACATTTACATGCATAGCAGGGCATCGCGTTAACCACTCCGCCAAAGTGCCTTATTGGTCAGAATGGGAGTGAGGGGAAACAAGACTGACAGTGTCAGGGATTAGAATTTTTAAAAAAAAAATCGACACCTGTGTGATTCGAACACACGCTCCCGAGGGAAATGCCTAAGCTTACATTAACATGCATAGCAGGGCATCGCGTTAACCACTCCGCCAAAGTGCCTTGTTGGTTAAACTTTAAATAGTTTGTACTAATTTTGAGAAATTAGTTTTTAGGATCTTGTAAGGACTGGTGATCATTGCTACTTTGCCGCAAATCATGTAATGGCTGAGAACAACATTCCGTTGGTTTGCCTATAACTATTGGCATCTTTCGGTTGTCATTAGAACGAAACTGCGTTGACAGTCTGCAGCACGATTGCCTTTTTAAGGCCTACGCAGCACGTATCAATCCCTATCGTGAGTAGGTTTCGGAGGGTTTACAGCCGCCTAATGCTAGGGCATAGAAGAGAGAGATGCTTAGTTAGAGAAATCAGCGTTGAGCTAATTTAATAGCTTTATAGTTGAGATTAGTGCATTGAAAATTGATAGGTTTGATATGGGTGGCCAGTTAGGTGGTGAATTACGTTAATGGTCTATCTGAGTGTAAGGTTTAAGAGTTTGAAGGAAAAACATGCACTTTCAGGTTAATCGTGCCAAACACCACTCCTTACCCGGTGTTGGTGGGCCAGCGGATAACAAAACCTCACTGGATCACAAATTGTAAAATTAAGTGCCTTTTCTATAGCAACTCCATACGGAAGATACTAAGACGCCATGCAATCGTAACCTCAATTTTTTTCAACACTCAGATTAGTTAGGGAGCAGTATTTAATGTATGGTGCTTTTTTGAGGCTCTTTGCACCTCTATATAATCTTTTAGGGCTAATCTTGGTAGTAGATTGATAAAAGCCGACCTATATTAGAGCAAGGTTTGTCCTTCTATTTTTACCTAAGCTAGTTTGAGTTTTGAGAAAATTAAGGTTACGACTTTTTTGCATGTAAGTATCTTTTGTATGGAGTTTCTATATACGGAGTACAAGGTGCTCAAATTTCCACTTGGTGATCTACTGAGGCCCACCCAGTAACACCGCTTAGCACGATTTGCTGCCTGTGACCTCCATTGCATTCAATATAATGTACAAGAATCGCCAACATTCCACGAATAGGCACTTTGGCGGAGTGGTTAACGCGATGCCCTGCTATGCATGTTAATGTAAGCTTAGGCATTTCCCTCGGGAGCGTGTGTTCGAATCACACAGGTGTCGATTCATTTCTTTTTTTGCTGCTACATATTTCACCAGCGAGCCGGCCACTGCAAAACACACAATAAATGCATAATAGTTATGTATTCTATCTCAACAACCATGTTTTGGTTTTGACTCCTCCATTGTCCATACTCATTGATAAGACTTATTAGCACCATATATTGATTTCAAAGAGAATAGAAAGTTTTATTATCACCATTTTGAAAGCTACGGAGAATTATGTTAATAAAAACCAGAACTATATATATCAGAAGGTTACAACCTAAAATCCCCAAAAAGGCTAGATATCACATAAAGGGCAGAAGGCAACAAGGAAAAGTCCACATAGACCATATTAATTGAGATATCAAGTTATAATCTATCGTATTATAATCTATCGTATTGACGATGTGTCTTCCGGTGGCGGGGTCGTTTGTGAAATACGTTACTCACTGCCACGGGGAATTGTCTAATTTATGTGTGTGCCATGGCTAGACTGTAGACAATCTGATTCACTGTACCAAGCAATGCATTTAGTCACATTAGGGTAGCAATTTTATGTCAACAATTATCCCAACTGTACAAGAGCTTTGACTATTGTCGCCATCGCCTCAGTGTCATATGAGGCAGTATGTATTCCCCGCGAGAACCCTTACCTCCGCTCAAAAACTCGTGTACCGATTGAAGAGTTGTCGAGAAGAGACCAGGAAACAGTTTTCCACAAAGAGTTCCGATATTAATTGTTTGGAAATTTTCGGGGCCTTGGTGGGGGATTTTGTCCTGTATCAACTCATTACTCCCGGTTAAGATCTTGAGGAAACACGGCATATCTTGGGTAGTGAACCAAGATAATATCTTGATATCATCTCGGTTGTAACCACAGACTTTGATGATTTGGTCTCTAACCTGGAGTGACGTCTCTCTGTTGGTATTGAGTCCACCATAGCACCTAAGGAAAAGAGTCCCCATCATTCCGTGCTTGTCTGATACGTACGGGATGTCGTATACATGAATTCCATCATGGACAGCCCGTAATCGATATTCCGCTGATATATCAATTTCCCATCCAGCTGTCTGATTGCAAGCTGTAGTGGAATGGGCGAATACCTTTTCGGCATAGATATGTACTCGAAATCCAGAATCCAAGTCTTTTCAGGCCGCCCGTAGAGTACTTTCAGTTGCTGTAAGATGACACGAGTTTGATCTGTGATATTTATCCCTCGTTCTTGTTCTCGATATGCTGGCAGATTTATCGTCTCGGCAGGATTCATCACATAGTTGATAAGCGATTCGGAATGGTGACGGCAGTAGTAAGATATCGGGACCTCCTGCGGCTCCGGGCAAGTGTAGCAAAGACACCCTTTCTCGCCGTTGATGTGTTTAAGGCTCTTATAAACACTAAGTTTTAATACATGCACGAGTTTCTCGCGAAACTCGCGTTCGTGGGTGATATGAGCACCTTGTCTGGGCGTCTCCTCGATTCATTCTGATCTCAGTCCCCTGCCTGGACGTGTGTCAGAAACTTCTAGATGTTTGGAGAACTGAGAGAGGACTATATTTTCAGAAACCCGGGGAACGAGATAGAAGTGATTGAGCGAAACAAGCTGGAAATCCCGCACTGCTGGGGCGGAGAAAGACACTTGTGGCGCCCTTGTGACAATTGAATCGACAAACGATTTTATGTCAGTATATTTCCCGTATATCGGAGTCAAGGTGTCTCCTGAACGATAGCTGGAATGTAAGATGGTGCTATAGAGCGTCCATGTTGGGGAGAAGCGACGAGGTCTCCATGATTGTGACCCCAAGAAGAGCATCTCGACGTCTTCAATATACAGCACCGGGCTCAGCCTAAAATTTTCAAAAATAGGTTGAGATTTGCGGTAGAACTCTTGGGAGTACCTGATTGCGTTCTCTCTTTCTTCAATCCTATGTCGTTTTCGCGTCTTGCACTTTAGCATCTCATAATCCATCGTCCAACCTTGCAGCAGGAGTGTGTCTGGGACTACTTCATGCTTGATCGAACCTCCCAGGCAGAGCGACAGAGGTAACAGAAACTCGGCTTTTGTATTGAGTAGCAATATTATGGCCCAGTGTGTAGGCGCGCCTTGGAAGGGCTCGCCATAGTCGAACCCGATTCGGACCGGAATGGCAGATTCAAGCTACAAAGGAAGCGTTAGAGGGTGATATTTCCGCATAGGGGACTTATACCCTACTTTATCACTCGCGGCGACCAAATTTTCGCAAACAAGACTGACACATGCTCCCAGTTGTTCATAGCAGGGTGTACATCGTCCGAGACCAAGCTGTCGGAGACTGTAATCGGGTGCAAGGTAGTATAATAAAGAATTGACCTTTTGTATCGTTGGGCTCTCATTTCTCAGGGGATGCCCTGGTGAGCTTTCGAGACAAGGGGCAGCAGCTTCGACAATAGACTTTTGGGACTGTATCTCCAAATCCGAACCAGGTTCGCGAGGGTGCCCAGGATGCGCAGTGTCCCCCATGTGTCCGAGAAATTTATAGGCGTCTGCAAAGCTCTGAATCTTACCTCGACGCCCTCCTTCGATGCTTATGAATGGCACCGGATGAGTAATGGGATGTAACTTGACAATTCGGTTAGTACACGGCCGATGATTTAAGAACAATTCAGGGATACCTTGTAAAAATCTTTTCCCTGTACGTATTTCTTTGCAGAAAGTTGCTCGGGTGTTAGTCTGAGAAAAGGATAATTTCCTGATTTGAACCGCTCAGACACAGGGGCGGATGCATATCTTTCGCCATCATCTCTGGAATTTCCGTGTCTCATAGATGTGATCTTTGTTTCTTCATTAACCCATCTCTCCAACGTAGATTCGCTGACATGAAGTGCCTCGGAGGCGCTGGCAATCGAAACGTTGCGCTCTTCGCCTGTCTGGGGGTTGATATGCACATGTGTCCGGTAGAACTCAATAGCCTCTAACCGCTCCTCCCTTGTGAAGATCTTCAGTGTATGTTTGTGAAGACGACTCGCTAGCTGTTTGTTGCCAATGCTATCAATGAGTTCCTGCTGGGCTTCTGTGAGGGTTCCAACCTGGCTATAGCTGTTGGGGTAGTCACGCTCTTCGAGTAGAGCCGGGCTCAAAGATTGACTCTTGCTGTCTTTCATAATGCACCGGCTAGGAATCTTAGTTTGTGGCATACCTCTTATTGCTGAGTCTTTGGTTTGGGGTTTTGTTGTGAGGTGATGGAGTTGGGCTGGTGCTAAAGTAGGCCAGCTCGAAAGATAGCTTTCTTAGATAACACCAAGACAAACCGTGTTTCTACTCTTTTGTTTGTTTAATTCTTTTATTTGACTGCCTGAAATATTAGCTTTCTCACAGCCAAGACAGTGTGATACCTATATTTACGCGTATCTTCACTTTTCATAAAATGGCTAAATCTGGGTCTATTCCAGCATCACAACAGTTTACCATGGATCCGTAACAAGCACTTTCCTTCTGGGATTCAATAAAACCCCTTTACCAGGCAGCCAGGAAGGGGGTGGCGGGGTGGCGAGAGGGGGGTAAATTAACCATGAGCATACTGAAGCCCTTCCTAGAAAATCCAAGAATTCATTAGAATCTTCACGATTGATAGCCACATCTGATTGGAACACAATGCTCGGGATACCAGCCATACGCCATTTGATTGAGTCATTTATGCACTTCAAGCTTCACATAATACCCACTCCAAACAGCCAAAGCAAGAGGGAAAAAATAATATATAAAGAAGGGCTAATTTCTCTAGTCTAGGAAAACCCCCAACCGAGATCAGTGCTACTTGTTCGTTGGACAGTAAGTGGTGCAACTCTGATTAACACCCTATTATATGAAGTCTAATCTGAAAGAACCTAAGCAGACAATATCTTCCACAGAGAGCCTACCATGTTCCCTCTAAGCTTGAGCAAATCGGTACAGGCCCCGAAGAGCCACGAACGTGATGCCGATTCCCACCAGAGAAAAGTAGGATCGACCGAGAACAGCCTTGTCATAGGTGAAATGCAATCGAACAAGGAAAGCGGCAACAGTGACGGAAAGAAGTTTATTATGTACGGCAAAGAGATTATCTTTGCAGGAATAACCGTGAGAATGAGACGAAAGACCGTCCCTCAAGAGGGCGATCGCGGCAAAGTCAAGCATAGTGTTGATGATTCACTGAAAGCAACTGTGCACGAGATACAGCAGCTCTTGGATCGTCGGGTAGTAGTAACTGTCAGGGTATTGCTTGACTGGATGAGCCCTACGAGTCGGATGAGTATCGAAAAAGCGCTACCGTTATGTGGATACATGTTTGAGAATGGTCCATGGAAGAAGGCGTTGATCAAGTTTGGGGTCGACCCAAGGGCTGAGCCCGAGTTTCGGCATTATCAAATAGTCACCTTTGAGATGAATTTCAACCCCATTTTTAAACGGGGAGAACATGACTGGGAAAAGAGTGGAGAAGTTACCTTCCCATACTTGCTTAAGGGCGATGATAATGTCCCCCATGTCTTCGGTGGGAAGAAGTTTGTGCCGGACGACAACAGCTGGCAGATCTGTGACATTAGCGATGTTCTTCTACAGGGGATCGTAGCAACAAGTGACGTTCGGTCGGCGGCCACTCTCAATGAAGGCTTCTTTTGGAACGGAACAATGGCGAAACTGGAAGTCATAATGCGCGACAAGCTTGTGTGCATAAGGGACGGTGGTACGCCTGATGATGAGGATTATGCATGTCTTCTATCTTTCCCAGACAATTACCAGCCGCCGACCGGGCGTGATTATTTTAAGTATGGCTTGGAGTTTGGACAGCAATATACGCAGAAGCAGGTTTATCTGAGAGGTCGGATAGTAGGTAGGGCAAGAAGAGGTGTGGACTGAAGGGCTGGTACTACACTTTACCTGCTCTTTTAGAAGATAAAGGCGATTCACAGTAAATAATTCATTGTTAGAAATTACTGCCCTCCGTATAAGGTGCATTAATGTATGGATATGAGTGCATAAAAAATAGACCGAGGCTGCGATAACCCTTGCTGACAAATGTGGGTCACAATTAACCTTGTCTCGAGGCCTAGGCTAAAATGTTGAAAGTTGCATGATTTCCATGGTCAACTTGGGTTCTAAGTGAATTCTTGAACTTCCCGAGTGTCAAACTGGTCTAAACTGTTCTAAACCTCTCCCTCAATCCCGGGAATGACCATAAACGCTCTCCCTTTCCCGATACTGTGAATTAATCTTTCCCTCCTTCACCATGGAGGTGAACGAACCACGCAAAAATGTTGCTGTCATTGGCACAGGGATGGCTGGACTAGTGGTCGCATACATGCTCAGGAACGATCCTCGGGGTAGATTTGACGTGGAAGTATTTGAAAAGGTAAAACATTCTCACCTGCGACACCGAATGTGCGAACAAAAGCTAATCTCTCTAAAAACGCGCAGCAAGACAAACTTTCGCTTGACTCCGCGTCATACAATCTCACAAACCGGGATGGTAAAGGTGCAAAGACCGAACGCCTCGATCTTCCCATGCGCACATTCGCCGACGGATACTACGAAAGTCTCAAGCGAATGTACGATTATTTCGGCATCCCATACGGCTCGCTACGGTTTATTTACTCCCTGTCGACTCTACCAGAAACTGCCACAGAACAAGCCTCTCCATACTACATGCATTCCTCAAATAATCACCAACTACCTCCCCTGCGTCCGGAGGGCTTATCGTGGACCGGATGGCTGATTGAGGTGTGCTACCTGGCAATGTGCTACTATTGGTTCAAAGCCTGCTGCTTCTTTGTAGCGCCCAAAACGCTGGAGTCGTCTGGCACGGAGGAATCACTACGACACTATGTGGAGAGGATTATGTTGCCCAGTTACTACGTGAAGAACTACTTCCTCCCGGTCTTCGCGAGCGTTGCGACTTGCTCTCACGATGCGCTGATGGATTTCCCGGCTCTTGATCTGGTCGGTTATGGGAGACGAACCTTCCGTAAGAAGCACTACACTGTCCTTGGTGGAGTTCAGCATGTCGAGAAAAAACTGTCCGAAGACTTGAATTATAAACTCGGCATGAAGGTCACGGCGGTCGAGAATATCGGGACGAAAGTTCAAGTGAGCTGGACAGATACCCGGGATGGCCAGAGCAGCTCACGGCTATTTGACCATGTCGTTCTGGCCGTAACGCCTGATGTGGTTGGCGCGATTTTCCAGCCTCTCCAAAGCGCGATGAAGGCCGTTCCCACAACGACCGTTCAATCCGTTGTGCACCGCGACTTTTCCCGCATTCTGGATTCTAGCAAATCCCTCTGGGCGCAGGTTTCCTTGAACCCCGGGGAATCAGCGCCTCACCCACTCCACATGTGCTCAGATGCTACGGCGACTGAGACGATTCATGAACATCCGTCATCCGCTCTTATTACGACTTATCCCATTGCTCCGATCGACCCCGAGAAGGTCTTGTACACGGCCACATTCACTCGTGTTCTGCGATCGTCCACCAGCAGACAAATCATCAACCAGATTTTCAGCCAGAAGACGTCTGGAGATGACAAGAGCCAGCTTTGGCGGAATGGAGATGGAAATGTCTGGCTCGTTGGTGGTTGGTGCTGGGACGGGATGGTCCTGCTCGAGGGGTGTCTCGCTTCCGCGACAAGGGTGGCAAACGCCCTTGATGTCGAGGTGCCTTGGATGAAAGAGTCCTCTCTATAACGACTTGTCAAGAAGATAACGAGACTTTAGTGTGCATATTCATTTCGGGCATTTATAAATGTTAACATATCAGTGACACCCTCTACATAGCATATATAATATGAACAAACGCATTATGGACATTCGACTTTTGTTATGATATACTAACATGTCATAGTCTGTGGTCCGTAGGCTATTTATTCAGATCCGCTTTTGTCGCTGTCTCTTTCCAAGAACTCACCACAAGGTTCAGCCTAGAATCCTATACAAACTAGGTGCGCAATAATAAGAGTACATGGCAATGGACACTGTTTTACCTCAGTCAGAACGCCGAATCGAGTGAGGCGAGTGCGTCACTTACACATATGGGATCACCGAGAGGATTGGATAATGGCGGACAGGTGTTTAATAGTCCACAGCATCCAGGAAGAGTACCATTATTAATACACGTGAAGCCACTCGGGCACTTGTTTTTAGGGATTAGTTCAAAGTCCTAAAAGGGCACAGTTGGGAACTTACACATGTGTTTGAAAATCTACAGAAAGGCTGGGTCGTAGGACAATTGGTGCAATTGCCATCAACACAGCCTCCACCTCCCGGCCCGAGATTGCACTATCATAGGGAATGTTGGTTAGTATGTCCATCTAATGCCTTGAATCGAAAGGATCGGATGTGAGAGGTCGGAGGTAAGCACATACAGCTGTACTGCACGATCCGCAATGCTTCACGTCAGTCGTCAAATCAGTACACCTTCCACTACAGCAAGCCGGCAGCAATCCAGTACACGGCACAGCGGTGCAAGACCCACAATGCTGCAAACTGGTAGATAGGTCTGTACACTGTCCAGAGCAGCAGCCGGGCTGTGTTCCAGCACATGGCAAAGCCGAACAAGAATTGCAGTGTATAGGGTCAGAATTAAGATCAACACATGCCCCCGAGCAGCAAGCCGGATTGACACCAGTACACGGACTCGCCGTGCAAGATCCACAGTGGTCAATAGTTGCCAGATCTGTACAGGTACCAGAGCAACATGCGGGTCTAGAGCCCACGCACGGGAGGGCCGTGCAGCTGCCACAGTGGGCAGGATCCGCGCTAAGATCTGTGCAGACCCCATCACAGCAGGCGGGCTGGGTGCCTGTGCATTTGGCGCCGCATACGCCGCAGTTGTTTGGGTCGGTGGTTATGTTGGTGCAGGTTCCGGAGCAGCAGGTTGGTTGGTTTGCTGGGCACTTTTGAATTGTTAGTATAGTCACCTAAACGTAGTCCTAGTTATTTGATGCCAGAATATGGGAATCCTACTGTTGTAGCACATGTACCGCAGTGAAGTCGATTAATAGCTAGGTCAGTGCATTGGCCAGAGCAGCAACCTGGTCGAAGTCCGGCACATGGTAAAGCTGAGCAAGAACCGCAATGATTCGGATCGGATGTTAGATCTGCACAAGATCCACTGCAGCATGCAGGGCTCGCACCGGTGCACTATTTCATGGGATTATTTAAGCAAGATTGCCATTTTGAAGGCCGTGATGTTATCCCAGAGTAAAGCAATGATTGACTCACAGTACGATCGCAGGCCCCACAGCTATTTACATTTGAGGAAACATCAGTGCATGTCCCCGAACAACAGGTAGGGCTGACACCAGGACAAGGGAGGGCTGTGCAAGAGCCGCAGTGTAGGGGGTCACTACTCAGGTCCTTGCAAGTCCCAGAGCAGCAATCTGGCGTATCTTCACTACACTAAAAGGGCGTTTGCCAGGTGAGTCATTCAGCAGAGGGATAGGATAAATAGGTATTTGGCATACCGTATTACTACACGAGCCGCAATTGGTAGTTGAGGTCGCGAAATCAGTACAACTACCCGCACAGCAGCCAGCTTGCTGTCCAAGACAGGGGACCGCATCGCAAGAACCACAGTTTTGGGGATCATTAGCGAGATCGGCGCAGGAGCCTGAGCAGCAGCCTGGTACTTGACCGATGCACTGTTATGTAAGATGCATCTCAGCAGATAGACTTCCAATTTTGTGCTAACAATTTACAATTTAATCCAGTCAAGACGGGACTTCACTCACAGTTATGTTACATGCACCACAGCTGGCGAAGTTGTTATCGAGATCTTTACACACACCAGAACAGCAGGCGGGTTGAGTTCCAGTGCACTAGTTGAAACTGAGGCATCAGTAAACTATTTTAGAATATCCGATATACCAAGAACTTGATGTTATACTTACCGTCGGTCCATCGCACGATCCACAATTTTCCACACTCGAGCTCAAATCTGTACATACTCCGTCGCAACAGGTTGGTGGTGAGCCAACCACGCACTGTAGGTAAGAAGATGAGTGAGAATTGTTGTGTCTAGAGAGTAATATATTGCAATCAGGACTTACTACGGCACCGCAACCTCCACAGTTTCCTGTATTCGATGTTGTGTCAGTGCACAAGAAGAAACAACACTTTAGTCCCTCTTCGCACTATTCTTGTACGATGAACATCTCGTCAACAACTGATATTCTTATTTTCTTTTCCACTACACTTTGCGCATGATCCAACTCACATTCGGAATCCAGGGGACACAATAGGTAACATTTCGCTGTGGACTATGTATGTCAAGAGAGGTGACATTAGATGCGTTCACCGGGTTGGCTTTGACATGACTGAGAGCTCCTGGTCAAAAGTTAGAACCTAGTACATATGTGTCACCCGTCAAAATTCGAGAGGTTCTAACCTAACAGAAGAAAGGCAAGCATCTGTACAGAGAGCGACATCTTGTGATAGTCAATATGACTAGATGAGATAAGAATATACGATAAAAAAATAGACCTTATATCGAGGCAACTGCCATACTATGATGCACAAAGCTACGGTTAAAGTGGTGTGTAAGGGATTAAAAAAAATACAATCGGGGTGTCTTTTGCTGCGTGTGTTACTCGGCTCATCACCTTCTTGAAGCCTTAATACATATGCCTCGTGAACTTGAGAATGCGGGCGATTTATGTAAAAAAATTTGGTTTATAGTGAACTAGTATTAATTTGAATGTAATTTCTCCCCAGTTAAAATACACGGTTTTTTATATATTTGATAGCCAGATATAGCTAGGTCGAAATTCTTCTGGAACCAAGTCAGATCCGTATGCTACCTAATATCACGTTAAGTGTGACAGTTACAGATAATGATTTTGTCTAACATGAGTTACAGACCGAACCTGCCACTGGCAAAGCTTCGTGTTACCTGTTACCCAATAGATAGTCCGAGCAAGTTGGGTTGGATCCAGAACTGCTTTATAAGCCAGCAGTCTTGTCAAATGCAGGAGCTTACACCCCAATTCTAAGATCAATGCGTCGAACGCAAATATAACATTCACTTAACTGCAGTTGAGATATAATGTCAATAGCAGCTGCCTTTAATGGGAGTAATGCCAGCATTGTTTGATCCCCCGCTGAAATGTTACTTTTGCGTAACGGTCTGTCACTAAAAAGGACAGAGACGAGTATAGAAAAAGTAGGGGCGTGAATTGAATCGATTCCATAATCTGCTAGCAAAAAGAATGGCTCGACTCCGTGCAAACAATAGCATTATCGTTCCATATGTCTACACAAATTGAGACAAGGCCTATAGAGAAAACAGTGCTGATGTACTAGGTACTACCATGCTCACAATTGAAGACGTTGGAATCAATGTCGCTTCTGAAAGATGCAGAAACATAACCGCTAAAATATTGACTTTTAATAATTACTTTCCTAATGGAAATATGATTATGTACAGAAACAAGGCCGATCATATGTTCATTGCCGGTGCACGGTACCCTCCGCCTGTTCTTCGACCTCCTCAGCCGCGTGCCCTTCCTGGACAGCTTCATAAAATGGCGCGAACTTGCTCTTCATTCTCAGTCTCCTGCCGAAGAAGTAAAATCCAATGGGAATCGGAACAAGGACGGCTGCAACGCATCCAAGAAGCGTTGCAGCCCACTGGATACCCATGCCATTGAACATCTGGCGTGAGAAAAGCGGGAAGCTGGCTGCCACCATTGAGCGACAAAACGTGTTTGCTGCGATAGCTGATGCGGCGCTGTAGATAGTAAGTTAAATAAGCCCTTGAATGTTTGCAGGAACAGAGAGGATAACATACAACATAAGATATGTGTCAATCAGATAATTGAACAGTTGGATGAAGATGATGAGAAGGCCAAATCCAGTAAATAGGCCACTCAGGGTGGGCACGATCCAATGGATGGTACCATTGAAGCCAGTCCATCCAAACCAGAAGAGCCCAGCAGCGAAGAGAGCACCACCGGCTATCACGGGAGGGAGACGCCACTCAGGGATAGGGATACCACCGTTCATGTCGAGTTTCTTATTGTAGGCCCTGCTAGTGATAATGATGTAAGCTGCGGCGATGAACAGGCCCGCCACCATGCCGAAAAGTGGGAGACCTCCGACACCAGCGTTCATGCCGTAAACACCCTGGAATACCAGAGTGTATGCGGTCAAGAAGCAATAGAGCAACCCGTAGATAAAGCTCAGGTAGATGGTGACAGCTAGGATCAACGGCTCGTTAAACAGCAGTCGAAGCGGGCGAGAGAAGTTGTTTACGATTAGCTCTCGAAGATCGACCTCGATTTCCTCTTGCTTCGCATGGATTCCCCAGTTCTTGGTCCGGCGACGTAGCTCTGAGGCCTTGGCCACCAGGACAACAGGTGGGTATGACTCCTTCAGGAAGAAAATGTTCATGAGGAAAGCGGCGAAGCCCATAATCGCGGGGATATAGGCGGTCCAGCGCCAGCCGAGATAGGACATGTTGATAAATCCTCCGATGAAAGGTGCCAGGAGAGGGCCCAGGAACACCGTCGAAGAGAACATGGCAATGGCAACACCACGGGTGCGGTTGTCCCAGATATCAGAGAACACAGCAGCCACAACTGCCAAGGGACAACTGCCGAAGATACCACAGAAGAATCGGGAAATTAGGAGTGTTTGCAGGTCCTTTGAGACTGCCACTGCGATATTGAAGACGCCAAATCCGAACATGGCGATAATAATGGGAATACGACGGCCCTGGAGTTCGGATAGGGGAGCCCAGATCAAGGGACCTGAGGCGTAGCCGACGATGTATAGAGAGCTGGAGAGGATGGCGACTTCAAGGCCGACGCCGAAGTGACTCGAGACATGGCTAGATGAAGAACTAAAAACGGCGGAATCGAAGGTGGAGCAAATACTGGTGAAGGCGAGGATGGCGCTGATGTAGCATCTGAATTGGACAAATTAGTATCGGAGTATAACCGCTGCCCATTGAATGCGCAGTAGGATATAGACCTTCATGGTGAAACGACTCACTTCTTCTTGATAGGCCAGTTCAGCGGGTATAACGGGTCATCTGGCCCATCGAACTCCACAACGTAATCCTCCCGTGAAGGGAGAGGTGGAGGGTAGGGCTTGCCCGCACCGAAAGCTGGCAATGGAGCGCGCGACGGTCGCGACCGAAGACTCTCACCCACGGTGAGCGCATGTTGGGCGCGTTGCGTCTCAGTCCTGCTCAATGCTATCGAGGTCCCAGTCCGATGACGTTCCAAATCGATCTCTGTATTCCGCGATTGTAGCCTATGCACCTGTGGGTCATAGACAGACGAGATGCTCGAGCCAGTTGAGGACCCGATGGAGTCTGACGTAGTGTGTCTCTCTAGCTCAGCTGAGTGTTGTGGCTTTTCGCTCGATAGATGTGACCCTTCGGCCTCAGGCAGGTGATCGGCCATATTGCCAATGGTGACCGCTGATCAATTCGGGGATGATATTCGATTACAGATCTTCTTAGCTGCAGTCTCTTTTTTTCCCCCGCTGGGACTGTCAGAAAGATCGGAAAGGTACCGGGTGCCTGAAATATGTAGGGAAAAAAAATCTTTTTTTCGCCATCTAAGCGCGGGCAACTTGTTTATAAAAATTTGCTCGAAAAAAAAGGAACGCCGAATGCAACTATGATCGTCTAGACCCACCACTTAGCGGCTTCAGCTTTGAATAAACTGCCGAACTTATCGGCTAAAACGGAAGTTAGCATGAGAAGCTTCCTAAGTAATTATTAATTAGGATATTAGGATATTAGGACACTATATCGAGTAGATTAGTTATGAGATATCGAGAACTTGTAAAAGTGAATAGCCAACCAGATGACTTTCCGCCCACAGCTCCGGAGTCAGGTGCCGGCTCTCTACCAAGTACGTCATCATGAATCAGCCCGCCACGCGGGAGGCTTGCACATGTTTTACATGTTTTGCATGTGTTGCATGTTTTTCATTACTATATTAAGGACATTGATTATAAACATACGGAATACTTTTATATGATATATGACTCAACAGCTACTATGTTGTATATCAATACAAGAACAACAAGTACATCGTACCATATGCCCTTCAAGGCTGGAGTGGAGATTAGGCATCTATATTGCTCCACCATGTAGCACCCACTATATACTCCGGATGGATCTCGGGAGTACACACCGCATTAAAATCGAAGGATTGGCGGAGAGTGAATTCTTCTGAATTATAAATCTACAAGAATAGTCGGCCGCTTATGCGACATTGTGGCGTCTTTTTTGGCAGTCTTTTTTCTCAAACTCATTTTAGAAGTCATTTTTTCTAAAGACTTTGTCCTTGTTGGTGTTGTAGCTAGGATATAGGCGAACCGGCTTAAAATGTCTATAACCTTTGAAAACAAGCGGTAAAAAGCATACTTTGCGCAGACAACTTTTCTATGTATACTTACGGACTCCGCGGAGCAATTAAAAATGCATCAGACTTCATGGATCTTGGAACGGCCACCCTTGCTCAAGTCTTTTGAGCTCCTCTTCCGTACAACCTTCTGTTAATTCCAACCCCGAAGACTTTTTTATCTCAACAGCATGGTCATACAAGTCATTATGCCCTTAGCCATTTTCTGAAATCTGGACCTCGTCACGCCAGGCATTGACGATTAAGCCCGATGTTGCCCATCACTCTTTGGTCTTCTCATAATTTTCAACTACCTCTTCTGAGAATCGAATAGGAGATTCTGGAGAGAAATTTCTGCCAGGAACTTCATCCCAAAGTATCATTCGGATACATCAGCGCGCCGCGCAGCGTTGTTAGGTCTCCCCACCATTGGCGCCCGGAATATTCCACAAGCTACTGGCGTAGGAAGACTAGCGGGTCGCGCAGAGCTCTCAGGTGTGTTTGTTGACTGTGCTATTGGAAACGCGTTATTGATACGATACGTAGCTTATCAGAAGGTGATAGTCAATCTCAGCTTGTTTCCTAGGGGTTCATCTTGGCATATCCAAGTGATTGGGTTCCTGGTTCCAGGGTTTCAAGACTGGTCGGTGGAGAGTGTTGGAACATTTTGGGATGTCTAGCAATAAGGGATAATGGAACGATGACCGCGTGTTACCAGTCGATAATGGATGTTATCCTCGATGTGTGTAGATCCACGAAGACATTGGAAAATGTAAAGTCTAAGTTGATGGTCAGTATCGGTATGCTACAACATACGAGAAGCAAGGTAGGATACCAGGGTGGCGTAGTCCTGGTCAGTTTGACACATTCTTGGGGTCTTTGGGCAGAGGTTAAGGAGCTATTGCTAGAAATTTGCGAAGAAGCTCCGATTGCTCATGCTGACTCAAAAGCTGTCCATGAGGTTTCGGCTGATTCAGTTGGACCCGGTGAGCTGTCTGTTGCTAGAGAAATTAGTTAGGTGAAACCCTAAGGGCTCCCCTTTAGATAGGCAACTCAATCTATCTGCATACAAAGATATAATGGCATAATTTATTGATTTATTGGCAACGCAAGCTCGGAAAAATAGAAAAAGGTGGGCTATTTCTAGCTTTGTAGGGCTGTCTAGTCAGAACAAGGGTCGCTTTCCTCTATTTCCTTTATCTGGCATTATGTAGGAGGGGATCGGTTGGGCATGTCCTTTCTTCTAGGCAATATACATCACAGCTTACTACGAAATGGGTGAAAAGGTCACCTTTTGGGTTGAGACCTGATTCGCACTCAGCTAATATAATACTGACACACAAGACAGCCCTTTAAGCGCTCACTCCTTCCTCGCAACAACGACAACACCTCTGACAATTCTCCCCTTAGCCCACCACCCAAAAACCAACTTGGCCCCGCGAAACTTGCCCAATTTNAGCCCACCACCCAAAAACCAACTTGGCCCCGCGAAACTTGCCCAATTTAATTCCAAACGGCCTCGCCTCCTCGATCCTGCGCTCAATGAACCCCGCTAACCCGCCAAAAACGTACTGCGAGACATCTCGGATCTCAATAAAAGCAGGATCATACCCAGCCGTACCAAGCAACTCCACATATTCCTTCTCGGTAATGAAATTCCCAAATGGCGAGTTCGTTGCCCAGCACACGAGTCGGAGGAGGATCTTTTCGTACCAAGTTATACTGTTGGATAGTATCAAGTCGAATGCCATGAATGAGGCGTTGAGGGTGTTGTGTGCATAGGTCAGGAGAGGAAGGCGCGATGGGCGGAAGTGGTATATTGTGTCCAGCGCTAGGAGCCATGTAGATGTATCTTCATTTCCAGCTCCATTTCCAGTTCCATTTCCATTTGGTTTGGTTGACGCGTCTTCAAAAGCTGTAATTGATTTCTTTAACTCCCCAGTCCAAGAGTTGGGGACTGCGGCGTCTGCGCAAAAAATATCTGCTTGTATAAAGTCCTCGCTCTCTCGCTGCATATGATGAATGCGACTTGAGCCGAGCGCGGCCTGCGCTGGTTCCAGCGTGATCCCGATATAGGAATCTAGGCGTAGAGAAGAGAGAGATCCCGGCTTGGTCTTGCTATGGCGAAACCGCAGACCCGACTCCGATGATCGAATATCAGATGGAATGCTGGAGATAGGGGGAGGGGCCGCTTCGCACCCGGTCCCGGTCCCAGATTCAGAACTGGACTGGGATGTAGAAGAAGAGCCATTGAAGATCTTCGTCAGGTGCAAAGACTGATCACCACACCCACACCCAACATCCAGGATTCTCACGCTAGACGCCTTCTCTGTTGATAGCGCAGCCGCGAGAACCTGATCTAGGAGCGCTTGGCACGCCGTTGGGAAATCAGTTGTGTACTAGGAAGTGGGTCAATGTGGATTCAAATAAGGTAAATTGCGCGAGACAATTGTTGAGGTCTTTATTTCTGTTGACTTACCTCCCAGTACCCCATATTCATCCACATACTCTGCGGTGGGAGCTGTATGTTGAGGACGGCATGGTCTAGACCGTACACACTTGCTTGTGGCTTGCGCAGGGCGCGTTTGAGGAAGTCTAGCATTGTTTAAAAGTCCGGGGGATGGGAGGAGACAATGATCTATTCTCTTTCGTCGAATTCTGCAAAACCGGTTGTGGTGGAGCTTGCCGGGTGGACCGGTCCGTTATCAATGCCAAGCTATGTCGGTCTACGATGTATATGTATCGCATGTAGTTTATAGATGTAATATGTGGATTGAAGCTGGGGTTTACCTGGCGTTAGGTTTAGTTGGATATTTTATGTGAGCTGGACAGTCGTAAAAGAGGGCCGAAACACATAAATAATTGAATCTAAATAACTAAAACTGCCGTGAAGAGACGTCACTCATCCACCCACCACCCCCTCGACCTGCAGATAGTAAAATCTGAAGTAGCTCTAGCTGCTAGGAACCAAGAATATAACATCGCTGAAAAGAGAACACTATGAACAAGAAAGCAAAGATAGTGAGGTGGAGCTAACAGAAAATAGCCCAGGACAGTCACTACCTGAAGCAGCAGAGTAGAGTAGCAGGGCAATCAAATAAGACTGGGGTTTCTTTTTTTTTTCTTTTTGATGATTTTTTTCTTCTTCTTTTAGCATTGGGCAATGCTTCATACAAGAGTGCCCACACCGCGCTTCAGGTCGGAAGTACTTGAGCCATCAGCCTTCTGTGAGGCCAAGAACTTCTTGAACATATCCGAGATGTCTTGCTCAGACTGCTCGTCGGCACCGTTCTTCTCCATGATCAGACCACGGAGCCAGTGGTTCTCCAGCTCGAGCTGAGACACGCGAGCCTCAAGAATGTCGTTCTTGTCGGTGGTCTCCTTGACGGTCTGCTCGAGAGCAGCCTCACGCTGCTTCTTCTTCACACGGAAGCGAGCACTTGCGGCAGTGTTACGGCGGCGCTTGTCCTCCTCGGCCATTTGGCGACCAGCCTCCTCGGCGCTCTCCTGAGTTGAGTTTGCCGAGTTCTTGCGCTTGGTGCCGGTAATCGGAGTGGAAGGCGACATAGTGACAGATGGGGCCGGGGCGACCTTCGGGGCGGTGTTGATTGGCGCAGGCTGAATGGGTGCCTGGTTTAAAGCCACAGGCCCAGTAGGAACGGAGGGAAGCCCCGAAAAGTGGGCATTGTGCATGGGCACCTGGACATTGGAGCCGCTAAGGTCGGGCTGGTAATCGGGCATGCCATTGAGACCTTCAGCTGTAAAACCATTAGCATTGATTCAATTTCCAAAAATCCACATCGTGGGTTTCGGTTTCCCGAATAGTAGTGCGAGTCCGAGCAAGGGTGCCGATCACGTGAAATGGCGTAATAGCGGAGATCATTCACGCCAACGACAAAAGTCAAATTTGAGTGAGAGAAAACCCTGCTAGGGCCACGGGAAGGATGACATGCAGGGCTCAGGTTTTCAAAAGAGGTCAAAGCTGTGCAAGGACATGGGATAATATCAAGGGTATGAAGCGCACGAAGCGCCAAAAATGCCAAAAAAAAGCCCAAATGCCAAAAAGCCAAGACATGACTCGTGCAATAGGCAGGAATAGCGAATTCAAAAGGCAGCCAATGAAACAACATGCAGGGTGTAGATATTGGTCCCAAGGACACAATTGTGAAGTGCGCGGGGTATGGTGTGATCAGGGGAAAGTCATGCAGCTGAGACTCGGGACTACCCAACCAGCGATGCGAAAGACAACGAAAATCAACCGCACTTACCATTCAGGAAATCCAAGAACTTCAGATCTTGCGCGGATTGATCTGAGACGACCTCGTGCTTCTCGTCTTCAGGCGAGAATGGAGGCAGACCACCGAAGTCGGTGAATTTGTCGAACTCGAAGAACTCGGTATTGGTGAACAGAGCTAGGTCCTCATCGTTAAAGGTAGTCTGCTGCTGTTGCTGCTGCTGGGCCTGGTCGTATGGCGAGGGAATCGCGTTCAAGTCGTCCAGGTATTGCGAGAAGTTGGGCATGCGACGCCCATTGTAGTTGGCCATGGTGAAAAATTTCCCGTTTTCCCGGTACGATCAGTCGAGGCAGAAGCTGGAAACCGATTTTCTCGATGCCGATGGACTTTATGGGAAATGCGCGTTGCGCAGGCGGTAGAGACGTGACTCAGATGCCGAATGCGGCTCGGTGCGGATTCGTCGCGAGTGCGATGGATGTTGAAGCACCTATTGCGAGGTGACTATAATTCGATCCGTGTGAATCGAAATTTTGAAGATATAAGATGGATGGAAGCCGGAGAGAGGAAGAGAGAAGTTGGGGCCACAAGTGGGTTTTTTCTTTCAATGCCCAGTGGGGGTGGGAAGCCCGGGGGCCGGAGGGGGAGTGGATGATGATTAATCCCCCAATTTGCCTCCAGGGCTTGCTTCATTTGCCTCCCGATCCGTATACTGGCGGATTTTGTTTCTGTTGGGGATATTCTATACAACTAACTATATATATATATATTCCCTTTCTCTTCTCATTTACTCCCTCCTGTTATTTCCTCCCACTTCCCACGCTCTATGAAAATATGGTAGACAATATCATAGAACCAAGTTGATCGAAGGCCGAGAATCGGAGCCCACCGAGTTTAAATCGTCGGTTCCACGTTCCCAATTCGAATTAGGCAAACCCACGATGATCTTGTAATTCAATATGGGGTATTATTGCATACAAATTGTATGATATGAGATGAATCCTGCATGAATCACGAATCACGAATTACGCGTTACTCTATTACTCCTTCAACTCCTCATTTTCCTGTGAAATAGTAGTACTTTAATAAACCTAGCGACAAACGCGGCTCTCCCACAAAACGGACACCGAAACGGCGGGGCCCGAAATCGGGGTCTGCCACCGCTGATTGGCGGACCTTACCTGCTTGGTCAGCGTCGAATGCAGCCCTTGAAGGGAGGAACGCCCTTCGTGTTCAGAAGTTATTCCTGGTTTTCCCGAGCTCGCTCCGAATTATTCATCAACATACCTCATTTTAATCTTATCTTAGTGTCTATTCATGGATGTTGTATGCTATTTGATCATTAGGAGGATTCTTTTGACCCTTGTCGTACAAGTATACTAAGACGGGGTATACACATGAGGCCCTTGCTGCTCCTCAAGCACAGACTTTTACAAGGGTTCCAAAATTCAAATGCCGAATTAATTGACTCCGATTTAGCGTTCTTTATTCTGGTGCACTGGCCACTGGTGGCTGTGGCTTAAGGAACAAAACCAAGTCGTCAATGTCTTGACGTATTAGGAATCACCAACCTGATACAATAATCAGTACGGAGTACTCTTTTTTTTAATGGTGGATATAATGTGCATACATAATGGCATGTGGAATCGTTTTCTTGGTGTCCCCACTAGTTAATACAGCATACATTGTAGATCCCATAACATGATGCTGGCATAGTTCCCCCAACATCATGCCATTTTTCTCTACTCAATTATGCTAACATTCGAATTATCTTAGCTTTCGCACTTCAAATCGAGCCAAGTCGCTTTTTTCTGGTTCAAGGCATTTTAGTGCTTGTTGAGCACTCTTAACATCCAGATATATCCACGAGGTCTAGTCACAAATAGTTCCGATGATCTCGATATCAATATCGGTACTACCACCCGTCTTGGGCATTTTGGATATTTTGTCCAAATTGAAGCTTTTCTGCTCAGATATCAAAATGTCTGGCTTAATTAGTCTGACTTTCAGTACAAAATGTTGGAAGAAACATATATCTAGTTACCTTCTGACTGGGAACCGATTCGGCTTCGCAAAAAGTGTATTATAGGAATAGTCTCAAGTTTCATTCTAGTTTAAGTCATGCAATGATGGGGTATGAGCAATCAGTGTTGGGAGGATCAGACAGAGGATCCATCCACGCCCCGTGGAGGTGATTTGACCGATACACCTTCCCAACTACGGGCACACGAGACAATATTACGGACGAGTCATTTGATGTGGCTTGGCTAATACCCGTGAAACAGGACGGCTCACCTGGTGTGACTGCGATGAGTACTGTGCTCAAACCATCTGCCTGTTACAATCGATGAGACTCTGCTCCGCTTAGGAATGTGCACTGACACCCAAATGGGGACTTTACGAGGTCTTCCAATTCGCAAGAAGGCAAAGCCCGGGTCGAGTCGAAACACAAAATCCTACCCTCGAATAGCAGAAAAAGACTCAGTCTTTAGTCCACCACAGTGGGAGCGGCAGAAGGAACAGTAAAATTGTACGATGAGAAAACACTTCATATTTTGGGCTGGACGTCGTATTACTTCCTAATTCACTAAAAGAGATCCATTGATAACAGAAATTATAGTTCAGCTGCTTTATTTGGGCTTGTAGCATATGCACCTGATCTTCGTATCCAAGCCAGATGTTTATTGGTTCAGAGAAGCTAGGTTTTTTTTGGGAGAGAAGGTATGTCTTACACATATCAAGAGGTAGCTATGGATATTCTATCTCCAAACTTCAGATCGACAGACGGTGAGATCAATATATATCTCAAGAAACCTAAATTCTTCAGTCACTGTTCGATTTTACACCTAGACTTCGGTTCTGACATGGGACAGCAATCAGCCCAGACGGGTTGCTTCCTGCCATCGAAGATAGAGGTATGTAATTATAGTCAAGAAATACTACAATCATATATGAATAAAAACTTGAAACTAAGCACCCAGCTTGGCAACTGTAGATGTAAAGTACAAATGTAGCTTGTGGAATTCAGCAAGTCACCGATTAAAGTGAGCTTAGCTAAAAATATGAGCCATCTAATAAAACTCACCGAATGTTTCACGAATTCTGGACGGCGTTACCTTTTCTTATTGCTGATATAGATGTGAAAGGTAGCTTGAGTGACGGAACAAAAACTGGGTTAGACAATATCTGATGGTTGCATATATGAGAGCTCTGGGCACCTAGGTCTAGATAGTGCAACATGAGCATAGTTTGCACTGATATGCTAAATACCTAAGCTAGTGAGATGATCGACGCGGGTATACAAAGGTCCTATGCAGCATTGCCAGCTAGCGCAGGGATAGCTATCCTATAGGCCCAAAGATCGGCAGTTAGTTCTAGCGCACTCTCCACAACGAGAGTCATTCAATGTCAGACAGAATTGGTGTTTTATTACTGGTGCTGATAATAAAAGGTTTAGTCATTCAGTATAGGTGGAGATATGGGGTCCAAGTCTGGGACTGAAGGGAAGATTGATTGTTGCTTCGGCCGGAAGTTGGAGTTTGGGTTATTTTTTTATGTACTCTGCGAGACGTCACACTGCAACAATTATGAATGCTTATGGTAATTTGTATGATTTTACGAGATATGAATCCACTCTATGGAATTCGATGAGACGTTGCTCGCTCGGCTGGCCAAATGACTACAAACAGTGCGTGCGTGCCGTTGAATCTTCGTACTAAATCTTTCCTGTTAGGTGTGTCAAATGAGACAAAGAACCCGAAAGCAACCTCTGCCAAACTGTGTGAGCAAGTGGGACAAGTCCAATGGTGGGTAGTGGGTGTCCCAGTTCCGCTTTACTTCCTACTGACCTACTATTCCCTCGAAGCATTACAGGAGAAATGATAAGTCTACTCAATCTCCGGAGACGTCCGCCGATAACATAATCTTTTTGAGGGAACCTTGGAAACGGATGAGCCCCAAAAAAGGTTCATCGGGATCCCCCGGGACATTATTTTACAGTAGGCAGCCTTCCACAGGAACTGTTCAACCCGAAGTCCTACCTGACGGAAGTAACCGTGTCTGGGGGCAATGACTCTTCACAAAACCTTCGCATCTAGATTCCACATCTGTTAATATAATCCACACTGCAGCAACCCGCAAGAGGATGACACAAGCATGAGAAAAATCGTTCATCCCCCATCCAGGATGGGTCAAAAAGGCCCACCATCTATATCAAACCCCTCATCCTTCCAGTTTATAACAGCTCAAACAGAGAACAATAATGACAAGAACAAGACGAGAAACAACAGGACGGAAAATCCCGAAGATGAAATAGACAATGGCCTGGATGAGCTTTCCGAGCAAGAATGGTTCCAAATAGGAGTTGACTTTGTTCTGTCGTAAGTATCCAGATCCTCCGCCAATATTCCTGATTGTGCTCACGAACTTGGAGACTGGAACGACCATGCCTGTCGCACATCTCAAGCGCACATCCCTCGGGCCATGCTGTGTCAATGCAAGGCACACTGCTACAACTTGCACCCCCAACCCTCGATAGTGATTCGCGATGGCAGGTTTCGGCGGAAGTCTTTCAAAAACTGTTTGAGATGGCAGATAGGCTTGACTTGGATGGGTACATTACGCCCGTCCAAGCGTGGAACAGGATAAGGGATCATGAGAACTTTCCATGGTTGACGCGCGAGAGATTGAGAACACTGGAGAACGCTATGAGGCCTAATATCAAATGTCAGGGGTGAGTAGTGTGTTCTTCTCTTGATTGATGATGCTGTGTAGTAATGTGCAGCAGATTTGCAGCAATTATGGAAGAAGCCATCTTCGAGATATTGTTGAACAAAGCCCTTGGTCCGTGAATAATAGTTTCTTCAATACCTTGACCGAGTTTTACGTTTGGTTTTATCTTTTAATTTCTTTTAATTGTAGTATTGGCCCTTAGGGACTTTAAGAATACACTCGATTCCCTTTAGTATCCCTGGTATATAATAAAATACTCACCCGGGCATTCATGCTAAATTATAAGATGTAGTACAATGCACAAAATTTTGCAAACAGGTCCCAATTTAGATTAGAATAAGGGCTGAGATCCATGGCCATGAAAAAAAGATGAAACCGTCTATTGAGATAATTTTTATTTGTGTTTAGTAACCCTTAGTAAGGTCAAGCGCTACTCCTAGCTCGATTTCTGCCTCGACTAAGTCCGTTACGAGCCGTGATTATATGTCACTGAAACCTCGGTTGTCATGTTACTATTTTTCCCCCTTGGGGGCATGGGTTCTAGGATCGCTGTTTGACTTCCCAAGTTGTGAACACTCGTATGTCTAATGTCCGTTTGCGTTTCGCCCTGAGAGTTATCGAAGACCTTGCGGTTGGGAGGCAGGTGTAGATACGGGATCATGTTATAGTTGTCCGATTTTGTGCCAAGGAATATCTTTGTTAAGAGAGGTTTAAGCGCGGGAATGGATGCAGCAATGATAGCGAGGCTATCTTCGTGCCACCTGGATGAGGTTATCTGGGGTTTTCTGGACAATCACAAGGTGTTTCCCTAAACCCAGGTTCGTAGCAATGTGGGAGACAGCAGCGTATGCAACCAGACAATAATACCAGGGGAATCAAGTCAGTAAGATCGTCCAAGTCAGTCCATTACGAAAAGAAAAGAGTCCTTTACAATTGCTGCAATTGCAATGCCGTAATCCCAACCAAACACTCTTCGCATGTATACTCGCACATATAAGCGCATCAAAACGAGTATCAAAGGAACCATCGACATGGTCCACATCAAACCCTTTACCGTAGGAGCCTGGCTCTCTAGCGGTGGAGGTGCACCCCCGCTAGACGACATCCTGGGCTTCCAATGCTGCGCAGAATCGCAGTCCGGGGGATACCCGTAAATTTAAAGATTCAATTCTCCCAGACGTAAGGACGCCACAGTTGACTAGAACGAGCGCTTGGGAGTCAAGGGAAATTAAGCATTATCAACAGGATGTCATATTCTAAAACTGAAATGTAGACTAAGCACCCCAAGAACATAAAATATCACCGGGGCGAAGTCCGAAAATTGCATAATTGTTATATCTGGATCTAGAAAAGATCCAATCGATCGGTTTACGGGCTTCTCGATCTGAACAAGCCTCCTGTTGTGCACAGACTCGCTAACCATGGCAGTGGATCTGCCAGGTTGACAAAGACACCATTTTGCATGACCTTTCCTCGACGTTTCTCTAATTATCAAGGCAGACCCGCTGTGGAAAAGCCACTGGAATCCCTCGGCCGCTAGGGCGGTGCCGCTGTCCAAGATTGTTGTGGTCAAATTAGGAAATTGGGTTTATCGAAGAGCCATTCACGAACATCGACAGTCAACTACCGACTCCACATTCCGTCCACCCCCGTCAGAAGATGAGCGCTAAATCTCGCTTGGATATCGCTTGGATATACATTAAAACCTATCTATAACGATATATTATAGACACTAAAAAAATATCGTTATAAACAGGTAATCGTTAAATCAAGGTGCCATATACATAGATACATGAGCAATGCAAGCACCGGATTTTTATCGTCATAACCGGGTTATTGTTATATCCGGTATCGTTATAAATACATATGTACATATGCAGGTTTTACTGTAGTATCCATATCATTGGAGTATTGCCGACGCTTTTCCCCGCCGTTTACTTTGTTCTCCTGGCCCCCGCTCTCAAGCGAAATGCGGCAACGGGATTCCAAATCCAATGCACTGCCAATAGCCAGGATTTCGTGAGACCTGTAGCACTATTGACAGATGCAGCTTCTCAAGGCCCCTTAAAGACCCTAGGGCCCAGGGTTGTTAAGATCAAGGGGCACGCGATTTAGCCAACCTTCTCGACTGCACGTACCTTTGGGTGCGGATATAATCTACATTTGCCATGATGTTGGAGATGATCCATCTTCCTTCCAGCCTGTGGGTTCAGGCCCTGGCTACTCTGGGTCTGCTTGTTGTGACAAAGCTGGTTTCCGATGTGTTCTTTTCATGTCTGAGATCCATCCCTGGTCCGGTGTTAGCCAAGATCACTGATTTTTGGCGTGCGTCTCACGCATATGGTGGACGTATTGACCTTAAGAATGTTCAATTACACCGGAAATATGGCACAGCAGTACAGGTCGGGCCTAATTGTGTGAGCATATCAGATCCAAATCTGATTCGGACAATTTACTCCACTCGCAATCCATGGAAAAAGGTTGGATATATCGCCTCCTAGTCAATGTCGCCCTTTAGATGTGAGAATAGACCGTGCTGACCTCTTGTAATCATGTAAAGAGTGATATGTACCACCCCAATGATGTACTGCTTGAAGGTCACCGATTGTCGAATCTCTTCAACACCCAGGATGAAGATTGGCACGACCAGAATATCCGACCTATTCGAAGTCTTTGGACCATGACTAAGGTTCTGGAATACGAGCCCTTCATTGATGAAACAATAACGAAGTTTGTGGACAAGCTAGCGCTGAGATTCGTCGATGGTGATAACGCAGGAAAGGTTTGCCCGGCAGATGAATGGATTGGCTTCTGTGAGCATACTCTCAAGCACCCCCTGGCACTCTGTGCAGATCAAAGCTAACTCATCGCGTAGTCGCCTGGGATGTCACCGCTAACTACAGCTTTGGTCAGCACTATGGATTCATTGACCAGGAGAAGGATGTCGAAAATTTAATCATGGATTCCACTGCTGGCCTTAGATACTTCGCACCGGCAAGTACCATGATATCAACGATTTGGCGTGAATAATAGTGGTGACTGACACTTCCTCTAGGTTTCTCAAATTCCATGGATTGACAACATCCTTGACAAGAATCCCATCAAGCGGATCGGGCCCAAGCACACCTTGACAGGTGTCCTGTACACCTTTAAGGTCGTTGCCGAGTATCAAGCCCAGTTCGCTGAGAACAAAATGTCCGCCGGTACTGTCGACCACACGCTCGACAAATACGTGCAACTGAAAGAAACATACCCTGACATGGTAGACGACAACCAGATCGTCAAGTGGCTAATGCTGAGTATTCTTGCTGGAGGCGATACGAGCTCAGCTACCATTCGTGCTGCCGTTTACTACCTAGCCAAGTCACCTACTGCAATGATCAAACTCGCCGCCGAACTCAAAGCTGCCGGTATCTCTACTCCTGCTCCCTGGAAGGAGATCCGCGACTTGCAGTACTTGGATGCCGTCATTCGTGAAGCTCTACGCGTCAACCCTGGTGTTGCCATGATCTTGGAGCGCATCGTTCCAGAGGGCGGATTCACGCTTCCCGATGGACGATATCTCCCTGCAGGCACCAAGGCCGGAATCAACCCATTTGTCACAAATCGTGATTTCGGAGTGTTCGGAGACGATGCCGATGACTTCAATCCGGACCGCTGGCTGCAGGACAAGGATGAAAGCCCGGAAAATTTCGAGGTTCGCCTGCGTCGGATGAAAGACACTGTCGACTTATCTTTCGGTGGCGGAGGCCGAGTTTGCATGGGCCGGTATCTCGCTATATTAGAGATAAAAAAGCTGATTGCGTCGCTGTACAGCTCGTTCGATGTGAGTGGTTTATTGGCGTTTCTTGGCTTTCAGCTTCTTGGTGCTAATTTTCGATATAGATTCAACTGTGGACCCCAATCATGAATGGACGTACCAAAATGCCTGGTTCGTGTATCAGTACGATATGCCCATGGTCATCCGGCGCCGATGAAATGGTGTGTCCGTGGGCCAATTGGCCTTGCCATCTAGGGATGGGTGGACATCAACAAATACATCGAGGATATGCGCATGTACAAAGTAATCACCTGGAGCCGAATCTAGGGAAGGTCTAATGGATACACGAAAGGTCTAAGTTGCATGCAATATGGATTGAGTAGAAACGAATTTGTCCATACCGCATAGGGTATCAAAGTCCCAGCCCAGAAAACGCCACCAAACCATTAAGAATATCTAGGTCCTTGAAAGGTGACCTTGCATCAAGTCATTATGTAGTAAAGGATCGCTGTTACTTCGCTCAATCTTCCAAACTATCCATGCGTAACTTCATTCAAACATACCTGACCGTTCGTGACTGGTAAAGGTATGTGGGTACGTGCGATGCGGAATCATGCCTTTAGCGGCTCAGAGGGAAAGGCGTTTTCATCCTTAGCCGCCGCTTCATCCTCGTTTTTCTCAATTGGCTTTCCATCATTGCCCTCCTCGCCGGTGATTTCTCCCCAGCCCGAACTTCTTCGGCTCATGCGACCAGCCAAGGCTAATGGACTGCTAATGCCCCCGGCGACACTGGCGGCAGTGCTGTCATTTCGACTGTGCGAGTGAACACCGCTGCGGATACTGGTAGTATCGCCGCCAGCGGTTGGCTTAGTGGTGTACAAGCCGCCCCGCTCCACATTGGTGCTGGCTAGCGGAATTGCTCCGGATGCTGAGTAGACACTGATACGTTCAGCACTAGCAAGGCCAACAATACTTGGTCGGCTCAGTACCCCCGACGCATTGAACACAGAGGTATTTGATGCTTCGGTCGTATTTCCACTCAGAACACTCAGCGGCAGGCTCTCCCGACTGCCGCCGAAGACAGAAGATGGAGCCAATCCGCGTACAGATGCATTGGTGTCCAGGGAGTTGCGGCGACGGCGCTTAGATGAGCTCGCCAGAGTGAGAAGAGAGGCGTTATCCGTCAAGGCATTGTTTGCGGTTGCAGCGCTGTACGTCATCGCATGGCTCTGGGGCACCAGGTGCGAGGGGACTGCGGTAGCGGGTGAGGTTGAAGGAAATTGGTGGGAAAATTGAATCTGCTGGTTTGAGGAGCTCTGCGTCGAGCTACCATGGTGGTGTCCATTGTGGTTATTTTGCGCATTGTACAGTTGGGTCGAGGGTGCAGCCGAGTGAACAGTGGTCAGGGTAGTGGTCATCGATCGAATTGAAGGTGCAGGTGACGAGAAGGTGCTGCCCTCTCCTCCTCCATGTGTGCTAAATCCTTCAGTGCCAGTCGTCAATGTACCAGCCTTGGAATACGCCGCTTCGGATAATGCGGCGTCGCCGTTGGTCGAAATGGTTGGCGCGGCGGATTTTGCGCCTGTTCGGGGAGCCGGGTTTTCATAACCCGAACACAAAGATGGGTCACTCCTGGAGCGAGATTCTGCATCGTAATGATCATCTGTGTATGAGTCGGTCGGTGTCTGAGTCCCTGTGTCACGGTTGATGGTTCCAGAGAGTGGGTATGGGTTGTTTTCTTGATCGCTCTTCTTGCTCTTGGTACCCGTGTAGCGCTTATTGGACCATCGATTTGTAGTAGAGTCGGAGGAGCTCTTAAGGTTCGCTAGGCGTTTCACCCAGTTTGAGAATGGACGGCGACGTGCATTCCGGTCTGTTTTGTATGAATCCCTTAGCAGCGGTTCATAGGGGCCAACAGGCACAATCTGTACTTACCATGCACCCTAGCAGGACCATCAGCAGTAGCCATTCTAGCTTGAAGAGGCAGCCTAGTCACTATCCACTCTGGCTTGCGGAAAGTCAAAGGTAGGCAAGGGAGTAATGCCCTGGGGATTGAGCCGCGCCGAGGCAGATGGGGCAGCGGGCGGGGAGACTGTTTATCCGTACACGTCATGTGCCTGCCTCCATGTTGCCTCTTCACTTCTATTTGACTTACTGTCAACATTCTGGACGTTTTATTCCCTCATGGATCATTGATACATATTGGCCTCTAACAGCGAAAATGACATGTGATCATGATTGAAACGCGTATTTATAATCGTGCTCCCAAAATCCATTTTGGGATCTTTCTTGCATCTAGTGGCGCAATGCCCCGGTGAATACAAATAACTGCGTCAATGCCTCCTCCTCAGTCAAGAATACGAGCGCTACCTTCAGATGTGATTGCAAAGATCAAATCATCTACATCCATTGTGCATCTGACTGGTGTCATTTTGGAGCTAGTCAAAAATTCTTTGGATGCCAATGCACATACCGTCTTTGTCACTGTTGATTTCAAACGTGGTGGCTGTATAGTTGAAGACGATGGCGATGGAATTCCTCCGGTCGAGTTCGAAGCTGCAGGAGGGCTGGGCAAGCCTCACCGCATGTCTCCCAACCTTCTGATTGGAATGTGTGACTGACATATGCAATAGATACATCCAAATTCAACCTGAGTGGCTTGTATGGCCATCGGGGCTTGTTCTTGGCTTCCCTGGCCTCGCTGTCTCTGCTTACTGTGACTTCTTGTCACATTCGTCATGGGTGCACAAACTCAATCATACTCCATCATTCGACGCCTATGGCTCGGCTAACCCCTGCACCGCCACATCATGTGCTTCGCTCTGCCGGCCATGGCACCTCTGTGACTGTCAATGACCTTTTTGGGAACATGCCAGTTCGCGTTAAGAGTCGAGCTCTCACTCTTCAGCGGCCGGACGAGCTAGAACGAGAGTGGGACTATCTAAGGAACTCCCTGGTGTCTCTCCTTTTGGCCAATCCTCAATTCTCAAAACTAGTCTTCCTCGATGTAGAAAGAAACAAACGGATGTCCATTCGTCTCGGAACTGCATCCATCCCCGAGTCATGCATCGCTCATGTTCAGAGGGAGTTTGATCTCAAACGTATCGGGTCAATTCTCACACAATCTGGGCTTATCACACCCCAAGATCTCGATAATTGGCATGAAATCTCAGCATCAGTTTCTGGCCTCATAATTCAGGGAGCAATATCTCTCCAACCCAGTCCAACTCGGAAAATTCAGTTCATCTCTTTAGGGAAAGTACCCGTGCTGTCGCACAATAGCTCGAATGTTCTGTATAACGAAGTGAACCGGCTATTTGCTTCGTCGGATTTCAGTAATGCTGGAGCCATGTCTGGCAGAAGCTCTGTCACACATCCTGCATCTTTGGTGAATCAAATTGATGCCCCAAGTAATGCAAGCACTCGAAGCTGGGCAAAGCCCGTCAATAAGTGGCCAATGTTTTACATCCGCATTGACACAAACGCTATTATACAATTGGATGATGATGGATCTGAGCATCTCCCAGAATCTGCCAAATCTGTTCAACGCATAGTTGATGTGCTTGGGGCTATGGTCTATGAGTTTCTCAGGCAACACAATCTCCGTCCTCGTAACGGCAAGCAACAGACCTCATCATCAGACCAAACCCAGATCATCCGTTCCAAAGTCTCTAAAGCAGCTGGAAGTTCTCGTGGTCCCCTAAAACAAGGCCGGCCGGTTTCGAGCACCGAAGAGGCGTTTAGCGGTCATCTGAAAATCCCCTCATTCCCAAGAACCCAGTCTGTGAACTCTAGCCAAAGTTTCGCCAACTGGTCCAGGGTAAAAACAGCTAAGGACATCAAAGGACATTCTCCAACCCATCGACCGCCTCGGCGTTCTCATGCGGCTCCTGATATAATGCAGGGTGAGAGTTCCTTGCCGATCCTCCCTAAAAATAGGCCCACCCGCCGAGATGATGGCACAACTCTTCCAAATTCCCCGAATCAGAGTGTCTCTGATGGGGACAGGAACAGAACAGAGGATTTGCCTGGAGATTCGCCATCAGACAAGATGATCAACTGGATCGATCCACACACCAAGTTGGCCTATATGATCAACCCTCGAACGGGCCAAACAATGAACTCTCGGAAGTCATTAGCTACCCAGCGTTCTCCCACTGAATGTGTTGATACCTCGTCCAAGCATCCAACGCAAACTTTTTGGATGGAAAACCTGTTGGGAGCATGGGACAATCCTTCCTTCAGCCGAACAGAAACGCCAATACCAAATCTAGGCGCAGAATCCGCCGGTCAGCAGAATACAACTACTTCTTCGCACGACTGCTTTAAGGGTATTGGATCGCTTGATACAGCGCAGGTCGCCAAATATCGAGGCAAACTTCGACGTCGTGTGCTCGAGACTGCCGAAGTGATAGCACAAGTGGACAAAAAGTTCATATTAGCTAAAGTCCATACGGCCCCTGTCATTCTCAATTGTGTGGGACCATCGAACGATGTTCTGCTCTTGATTGATCAGCACGCAGCCGATGAGCGATGTCGAATTGAACTGTTGTTTAGAGAGATGTTCCTCTCTGCTGGGCAAGGTGAAAATTTGGAGTCGGGTCATCGAGTGCGGACTGTCCAAGTCGGTTCTTTGGCATTCGAAGTTTCTTCTACGGAGGGTGATCTCTTTCAAAAATATACGGGTCTCTTCTCAGACTGGGGTATTGAGTATGTGACACAAGGCCAGACCAAATCCACCGTTTTGATCACCGTGCATACTCTTCCTATCTTAATAGCCGAACGCTGTCGGCTCGAGCCTCATGTGTTGACTGACTTGATGAGGCGCGAGATCTGGTCAAGTGAGGAAGATGGCAGGAAGCCGTTTCAGTTGAAGAAAACATTTGAAACGCAAGATGCCGACCAGGATCTCGACCTGTCAGACAACGATAATGTGGCACACAAAGAAACCTCGACATCATACGCCTCACGCTCATGGGTTCAAAAGATGAATGGATGCCCTCAAGGCATCGTAGACCTTCTCAACTCCCGCGCTTGCCGAACTTCCATCATGTTCAATGACCCGCTGAACATCGAAGAGTGCCAGGCCTTAGTCTCCAGACTGGCCCGTTGTGCCTTCCCGTTTCAATGCGCCCATGGCCGCCCTTCAATGATCCCTATACTTGATTTACGATACCTCTCTGAGACTGCTGTTTCACTACCGCTAGACTTGGATACCAGAGCATCTACCTATGATTATTACGACGGCATGAGTTTAGATTTCGTGGAGGCGTTCAAAACACGTTATGTAACATAAGTTGGTTTAGCTCCAAGGTGCTCATATAGGAAGTTTGGGAATTTCGGTAATGAGAAGGGAAATGTGTACATTAGGTGATAAATCAATCAAGTGTTGCCAAACATTCAAACCCGCATCTAAGCCAACTTGTGTTTGGCAGTCATTCCGTGCATTCTCGAGTTCTTTTTGGGGGGTTCGTAGACTGCAGGCTAACAAGACACGGACTCGGCGACATCGGGATGATTCTCCGCCTGTTTCGGCCTAACATTCTTACAATATAGGTCCAGGCTCTAGAATCAATTGACATGAAGCCCCTCGTCCATACTGGCCTCCGACATGAGTGCTCAAACCGGGTTTGTAGGTTTCACCCGTCTTGACAGGTCACATTTCCCCTCCACCTCAAATTGACAAACAGGATACCACCTTATCTTTTCAATACATCATAAAACAAACTGTCATTGAAATAAACAGGTTCTTGGGTGTTTCTTTCAAGCCTATATGTGATATGGTGATATTTAGCGAGGTGCAGCTCGACACTTTGCATACTACGAAGTACTCTGCACTCCGTAAGCCTGATGGATTTCATATTCTTGCATAAAACCACCTCAACCAGATAGATCGTGCAGGGAGGTCGACAAATTTCAAATTGTCCTGGGCTTGCATGGGTTTGGCGCTTACAGAGTGTAGGCAGTCGCATTATTCAAATACCTCAATGGCAGCAATCTCTCGGCTGAAAGATACAATTGAGGGGCTCTCTTGTATTCAAGATTGAGCTTCTTGGGGTATATCCCTTGCATGAATAAGTATCGTCGATTGTGAAGAAAATCCTCCGTAGAGTTCCAAGGCTGGCGGAGGGGTTCATGCAAGGATCAGCTAGCCACTGAGAAAAGTGGTAATAAAAATGACATTGCGACTGTGACTGGCTTACACAGTCTTAAACAGCATTGTACTATGGTATGGTACGAATATAATCGAGTTATAAAACACAATACAAAGCTAGATACACACGTATGTATGGCCTAGTATAGCAACCTTCGAATTGGACTCGGGCACTTTGTGAATCGTATAAAATCACATTTTGTTTTAGAACTCTCGAACTTTGATTGGGTAGGTCACTTGTCAAGAACTCATAGTCAAACCCCTCTTTTGGGGTGCACTTATTCCAACAATATTATCCCCTTTACTTGTTTTACCCTTGGTGTCTGGCAATAGCCTTTGGGCATGGTGGTAGAGCAACAGTGAATAAGATATACGGGAATAAGATCTACGGGCTCGAACTAGAATGTTGCGGTATTTTAGTCTTCTCTTTCTTATGAACAATCGCACACTGCATATCTTTCATCAATCCCAATCTAAGAAAGTTCTACTAGAGCTATTATTACGTTTACTGCCCAGGTGTCACTAGGGCTCATGATTGTGACTGTATGTTTAAACATTCCGATTTTTCAAAACAATGAACCTTATAGAACAACCTCAGCTCGGACTTCCAGTGGGACAAAGTCAATATTCCGAAAGGACGATGAATCGGCAAGGATCAACCGCGTGGTAGAGAAATCATGACGACTTTGAATGAACAGCTATTCATGCTTTCTACCATTTTGGTGATACCCCAAGGCAATGGATTATTGTACGTCTGTCTCTGGATATAGGTCCACAGGGAAGCTAATTAGGTGGCACAAAATTCAGCCCTAACACAACGATTTCAAGGGTTGATGACTATCTCATCATCGCAGTGGGTTTGGTTCTTGTGTAGTATTTCCCTCCACTAAACCTTCTATTGATAGAAAGATGCAAATACCAGAATGTTGTATTCCTAAATCACAAAGGTGAGCAAATTATCTATCAAAAAAACATCAATACAAAAAGACTATAAAAGACGCCACAAGGCCGCATAAGCCGCTGACTATCCTTGTATCAACATCAATATGAACTCTACTCATTTGATCTAGAATTCTTAACTCACAAGGCTTCTGTACTCTTAGCAAGCATTGCTGTATCCCCTCCTTATTGTCCCTCCAATGGAATTCTCAGTCTATAAATCTCAGCCCTAAACTCGGGGTGTACATGATTTAGCCGGAATTAGAATCGTCTTAATCCATACGAAACATATTAAATCGAGCATAAAAGGGTGTCTATAGTTATAGAATTAGTCCAGAACCAACAGCACAAAGAACCAATTCCATCATCTACAATAATCCCAATCAAAAATGTGTCCCAAAACCCCCCACGGCGACTGTCCTCAAGAGGAAACAGCCTGCCATATACTCCCCTCAATCACCAGCAAGCGCGTCCTGATAACAGGCTGCGCCTCCGGAATCGGCAAAGCAACCGCCGAAGTCTTCGCCGCACACGGCGTGCACATGGTGATATGTGACATACAAGACGACATCGGCCAAAGCGTGGCGTCTGAAATCTCCGCTCAAAACCCCAACTCCAAAATCAAGTACCAAAACCTCGACGTAACAGTCGGATCCGAGTGCAATGCCGTCGTGGAAGCTGCAGTCCGGTTCCTCGGTGGACTAGACAGTTTAGTCCATGCAGCGGGCCACATCCACCAAGATGCAGCAGAAACCATCGCCGAGAGCGAGCTGGACCACATGCTGGATGTTAATATCAAAGGAACGATCTTCATGAACCAGGCCGTCTTTCCCTATCTCAAGACTCGGGGCGGCACGATCCTGAACTTCGGCTCTGATCTTGCGTCCGAGCCGCTGCCGCTTCTGGCTCACTATGCTGCTTCGAAGGGTGCCGTGCAGAGCTTTACGAGGGCTGTTGCGCGTGAATGGGGCAAGTATGGGATTCGTGTTAATGCGGTTCTACCGGCTGTTTGGACACCCATGATTGATGGCTATCGTGAGAATCTTGAGGCGGAGAGTGTTGTCGGTCATGATGTTTTCATGAATGATCGGGTTTGTCTTGGGGAGAAGTTTGGGGATGTGGAGATTGACTTGGTTCCTGTTCTTGCGTTTTTGGTTTCGGATGCTTCGCGCTGGATCACGGGTCAGTTGGTGCCTGTTAATGGTGGACTTTCGCTGGTACGTTAGCCTTTCGCTGGTGTGTGAGGTTTTATCTAAGAATCATTGGGGTAGGATTCGGTTGGTTTTTGATATGCAGATATCAGTATTCGGGCAGAAGTATCAAAGCAAAATCCGGGGCAAGGCATCAATCACAGCTTAGGTTCTTTAATGCGTATCTCACTTGGGTGAAAACCCACATATTGATATTATAGGCAGGTACAGAGTTACGGTTACGATTGTCAGAGAAGAAACGGTTAAGATTAAAGCGTATTTTGCATTCCAGGCAGCTTTTAAGAGATGCTCCTGTACAGAGGCCGTGAGGCAAAAATATTGTCTAGAGGGTATCCGATGTAGGAAACGCCCAGTGGACAGATAACAATCCTTTTTCCAGTGCACCTGTCCTTGTTTCCCCATTCCCAGCCGAAATAAGAACAGACCAGACAAGGAAGAAATTAAACAAATCACATAAACAGAGCAAGGCCTTTGGTAAACTCCATGTGGGTAGTCCCGGGCCCCGTTCCATACATAGACGCTTTTCAAATGCTACATTTCTCGAAAGAGAAATTGCAAAACACAAAACACAAAATACCGCCCAAGAATAAAAACAAGTAAATAGGTAAAGGAAGAATGATGGGATATTCACAGATAGCAATAAAAAGTGTTCGAGAAAGATGATGCGAGTATGCATAGTAGAACAACGAATGGTGAGGATGATGCCGATTAGAACAACAGTAAGTCGGGAATAAGAAGAGGTCATCAGTCATTAGGTTGCGAAGGATGGTATAGGTGATGATGTGGTAGGGAGTGATTTATCAGTGTGTCGTGACGGATTTCGCCTTGGACTGGGTGGTCCATGAGAGGAAGTCAAACTTGTCCTTAGCATTGTCGAGCATAGAAGGAACCGACTCGGACTGGGAGGTCTGGGACTGAAGGGTAGTTCCGCTACGGGACGGTTCTTTGGGCTCAAGAACTAGAGAGCGGCGGTAGAAGTTCTGTGCGATTGTTTCGCCATTTGAGCGCACGCGCACGAACTCATTTTGCATCCAGGCCTGTAGCTCCGGAACTTCGGTTAAACGGTAGGGAATCTGGAACCTTTGGAGTTCACTGATGATACGAGCTGTCTTCATGTGCTTGTCGAAGTTGATGACCGCCATTTCACTGTCATCGGTGCAGAGGGTACGGAGAGATTGGTTGCCGTGGTCGACAAAAGTGAGGTCAGTGAGGTAGGTACCGACGAATGGGAGGCACGGTGGAACGTGGTTCTGAAGGCGCTGGCGGAGGACTGCGTAGTTGCGAGAAACATCCACGATGCCGCGGAGCTGCTCAAGGGCAGTCTTAGTCTTTTGCGACACGATGTCCCAGGTCTTCTTTAGCCGAGAGATCGTAGACGAGTTCAATGAGCAGATAATTGCCATGAGGGAGTCATAGTTGTTCAACTCTAGACATTTGGTCGCAATCTTAACCCAGTGCTTGATCGTAGCGGCACGCTTCTTGGGCTCCTCGAGGTAAAGAATGGAGTCAGAAACGAGGTTGGCAAGATCAGTCGACAGAGTTGACATGGCGCGAACATTCACAGCCAACGATCCTGTCTTTTTGGTCCATTCCGTGTCCAGGAGTTCCTCAGGAAGAATCGAGCAGAAAATACGCGACTCTTTGATGGTGAGCTGACGGGCAAGCTCAAGTGGGTCGAAGTCGAGAATTGTTATTGAGGCTTCGCCGTTCTTCCATTGCTTGAGCAAGTTGTGCTCCTTCTTGCCAAGGACTGCAGGAGGTAGGGGGGTATCTGGGTGAACGTATTGGGCAATGGAAGTATTGGTCTTGCCCATGGAAGAAACTAAGCGAGGGACAAGAGGGCCGCCGACTGCGGACACCTTGCTAGCCAATTCAAGCAACCGCTTACCAGCGGTGGGGAGATCGACGATAAGTCGTGTGCTTGCGAAGTTGACAATGAAATCTAGGGCCGTGTTGTCACGATCGTGGCGCCAGTGGGACTCAAGCCAGCCCTTAAAGATGTTGTATACGCGGAGACGGACGGGTCCGGCGGCGTGGGGTGTGTCACCAATGTACTCGAAGCGTTCAGCGAGGGCCTCGGCAAACTCGAGAGGCGAGGCAAAGAGGCGGAAGGTGAGGTAGAAGGTTGAGACAAACATAGCATCGGGGGTGGATTGGTGAGCAGTCAGCTTCTCAATAAGAGCACGGAGACTGCCACCCATCACCGACCCTTCCTTGTAGATCAGTTCGTGTGCGTAAGTCTTTTCCAGGATGTTGGCCTCGGTCTCCTCGTTTTCCTCGGCAAGGGTCGAGTAGCTCATACTTTCCTTCAGTGAGTGAACCGTGAAGCTCCCCTGCAAGCTACCTCCAATATCAGGTGAGGTAGCCCGAGTCGAGGTTTGCGAGACACCACTCATTTCGGAGTCACGTGCGTGGCTGTTATATGTGAAGCTGCTACCATTGCTTGTAACTCCACGGCCAAATGATTCGCCGAATTCAGACTTGGGATGACTTTCACGGTAGCTGTCGGTGGAGGAGAAGGAAGAGATGTTCTCGAGATGAGTGGGGAGGATGGCAGAATTGGGTAGAGAGGAAAGTGCGCTAACGTTGGCGGGAGAATTTGTGAGATGGGACTGGAAGGATGAAGGTGTTGTAGCGTCGGTGAGAGCAGGTGTTGGGGGAGAGTATGTGGCGCTAGGAATCTGAAGAGGGGGTGGGGGAAGGCGGAGTGACAGCTTTCGCTCCTGTTCTACAGGAGTCTCGGATTCATCTTGAGGAGAGGCAACGCCAGAAAAGCCCTGTCCCATCTGTTCGGACTCTTCAGGGTCAAGCTCGAGATCACCAATTTGCTCAAGCACTAGGCGAGCCTTCGCCAAACAGTTTCCAGCTGCTCGCACACAGTCAGTTGCAGCTTCCACAAGGCGTTTCCCTTGGTCTGGCATGAAGACAAGATCATCATCTGGGAGGTGTGCGGGGCGGAACACGTCGCGTGCAGCGTGAACAAGCTCGGAGAGTCTCTCACACATTGACTCTCTCGCCTGTTCGAGGAACACGCTACGATGTGTATCATGCTCGCACACTAACTCAACGACATTCAGTAATTGCCCACACGACTGGACAGCCTGCCGGGTAGTGACAACTAACTCCGTCGAGGAGCGGGACTGCATGTGCAACCCGATGAACGAGCCAAGCACGCCGAGGAAGGCATCATATGTCGTTCCTAGGCGTTCGGATGCCAGATTCTGAGCACTGATAGCAGTAGAAGGACCAGACACCGACATGCGGTGGGATATAGAAACCCGTTTCGTAGCGACAGAGACCGGTCTGTTATCAACCACCTCAGTGCGCATCGATGACCGACTCATATCCATGCGGCTATGGCTCATCTGCCGCGACTCCATTCGCGATTCCATTCGGGATTCCAGCATTCGTGACTCTGATCGATCAGGCCCCTCGTTCTCGCCCAAATTGAAATTCTCGGATGCCGGAGTCGGCGGCAGGCTGTACTGGCCTAGGCTCTCGCCGGGTCCATCCATCTCAGCGATAGTCCTGCTCAGGCCAACCTCCTCATTCCAGACGTCGAGGAATCGAACTCCTCGCGTCACAATCTTGAAAGCCTTGAGGAGCATCTCATCCAAAATTGCCTCGACCTCATCTTCCGACGGGACGCCATTGGCAACTTCCTGGAACTTCTTCGCAGTTTTCACCAGCGAAGACAGGTCAGATAGCAAAGCCTTCCGAATTCTACGCAGTCCATCGAATCTCCTTACCAGGGGTGATTCTCGGGTAAGACATTCTGATTTTTCCTGCAGAAATTATAAGCCTTGTGATGTCTTCTCGGTTCTAAATTGGTACTTACCAGTAGAAACCGAACGCCAGCGATAGGGCCTCTCATCAAGTCTTGGTTTCCAAAATCTTTTAGTGATGACCCGCATCCTCCTCGAATGATATCCCAGAAATCAGTCAAGGCCTTCAACAAAGGACGCATAGCCGGTTGGTCGTATGCTTCGCAGTAATTCGTGGGCAACCAGCCTCGATTCCCAGAATCTAATAATGTACCATCGGCCCAGCCATTGGTGTGAACGGAGTGTACCAAAATGATGTCTCCCTGGTCCAGAGGGAGTGTAACGGTCGACGGAGAGACATTGCCAGCCGGGTGGAAAGGGTAGAAGGCTCGCAGATAGTTGTGAAAGACAGGCCTCGGGGTCTCCAATTGTTCCATGTTTGTGTCCTGGGTATCGTGTGGTGTTAACGGAGGGGTCATCTCTGATGAACCCCAGGGGGAATAGAATCGATTCTGTATAGATTTGGTGTCGTTGGTCGACTCGGATAAATTCGAATTGGATTTCGAGATCTTTAACGGGGGGATGTGTGGCTTCATTGATTCGATATCTTGTCGGTGCCGTAATTGAATAATTCCTTCTCCAAGCCGCTGAGGTCACTGACCGATGGCGTTTATTCGATAGTTGCAATGGACATCGTTCAATGAATCCAACAGAAAAGAAAGACAGGTATCGAAGGCAAGTGGCGTTGGATAATCAAGGATGGAGGGGAGCAATCGGATCGTCAGAGGCTGGGGTTGATCCTACACAATCTAGGTCAATTGGCGCTCAAGGATAGTATAGTGTATAGGGATCGAATGTTTGGAATGCGCCCAAGGAGGTTGAGGGTTTGGAATGCCAGGAGAGGGGAAGGATTTAGAAACTTTGGACATACAAACACAGAAAACAATATTAACAAGTAATCGAAAAAAAGACTATAAACAGATCCAAACAGACTTCCTTTCAAGGAGTCCGGAATATTCCAAGTCCCTATATCAAGGGATGAACGAGATCAATGGATAAATAATGCAAATGCAAATGCCTATAAGGGAGATGAGGCAGGTGCTATTTGACCGCAGCAAGGTGTAAACTGTAATTGCAAATCGAGAGTGATTCCCAATTAAGGTAACGCAAGGGCGAAAGGGATATAAGGGAAAGAATGCAATGGCTAAGTATAGCAAAGTATCGCAACGTATAGCTATTGCCACCGGCAGC